TACTGTATGTAGTGTTACAAAAACTACCATAGATGATTAGAGACTGTGGGCATACTACCAGAGATAGTCAGAAAGTACAGACATAATAAAACTGAGGTCATGCTGCAGTCAAAGGTCGGAGACAGGATACATGAGATTGCTAGAGATCACTACCATTACAGCAAGGTACACCCTCACCCCTTGCTGCTGGGGCCTAAGAGCCACAAAATAAATACGAAAGAGCTGCGGTTTGTGCACCAGTGTCTAGAGGATACTTGTCAGGGGTCAGAAAGATGAATTGATGGCCAGATTTATGTGAATGTTCAGACTTTGACTGCATACACTGTATTACCGGTATGGACTCAACTGTATACACCGTATGACCAGTCCTGAAAACTTTTGTTTCTGAATAACTTATTGGTCTGTATACTCTTACAGGAGATATGGACATTGGAGCCCTCCATCATTTAGAATAGAACAGTATGATGACAGACATTAGGTCTCCATGATGGAATCCACAATGCAGTTAATCAATTGAATTTCTTGAAAATAGTTATAGTTGCATTTTTAATTCTGGGGTGCATAGGAGAAGTTATAATACCATATACAGATGTCTATGGTATTATAACCTCTTATCAAATAAACAAGGAACTTTCTTTCCTTCTTTCTATCTTCCTTTCCTTGCTGGCCTCCCTTCCTTTCTCTGCTTCCTCTCTATGGATTAATGCCTTGGAGAAAATATATTTAAAAATAAATTACAGTGAAAATTTTTGAACCAAATATGTTTGTTCTTGTAATCTACCTGGCTCAAACCCATCACAGTAGAAACGTTAACGAAAGTTTGGTTTTTATGTCTTATCTACTGTGAAGTTTTACACTGACGTGTAATGCTGGATTACCTCAATACAAAAGAACACAGTCTAAATTTTTTAAGCTTATCTTCTGACGTCAACAGACTAAATCCAAGAAGTAGTTGTGATATATGGCCATCAAAACATTCTTTTTTTATATATATATATGAAGTTTACAGAGCTAGAGTCATAATGAGTTTCCTCTGACAATGGTTAAACATTTTTATTTTTCATATCTGAACAACAATGCACTGCTCAACAACAAAAAACACAAGATGAAAGTGTTTTAGATAACATTTCTATATGACTTTGCTTGGTGTGCTTTATAATTATTCGAATGGATTATGATTATGGTTTTACAATTACATAATTCCATGCTTACAATACTTGCAGCTGTAAAAAGGAAGATGCTTTGGCATTCATTCTAACAACTTCTACCTATTTCTGTTGCATTTGATGTAAGGGTGCTCAGTATTAACAGCCAGTGGAAAATGTCAGGATGCCTCATTAAATTCCTAGCAATTTCCAGCCATGCCTAACCATCTTTAAAAAAACGCACATGGAAAGAAATAATTATTGTGTTATGTAATAGTGTTAAGGCATGGGAGTTGCTTCAACATGTTATAGTAAAAGGAAAAAAGAGGAATTGTGCAATGGACACATGCCAACACTTCAATCAGAATATTCTAGCAAAGGAAAGAGAGCAAGGGAGTAAGACAGAAAAGAGGCAGCGAGCGAGAGAATTATCATCCACTGAGTTGATATGGTCAGTGAAAGCCTGTAACTCTCGTTTGTGAATCTTGACCCAAGTGTCCTCCACATATCTGAACCAATGACTGGGTGTAATTCCCTGGAAGGTGGTCAGGGCCTTGGTTTCTACTTCCTCCATGTACAGGTTCGCCACAGTAGGTGAAACTGGCGATCCCATTGCACAGCCATGTTTCTGCCTGTAGAACTTGTCCTTGTATATGAAATAGGTGGTACTCAGGCAAAGGCCCAATAAGGCACACAGTTGATCTGGGTTAAGTTCTGTTCTGCTGCCTAGGGTGTTGTCTAGTAGCAACCATGTTCTCACTGTTCCAATTGCCTCTGTGGTGGACATGCAGGTGAAGTGGCATGTGACATCATAGGATACCATTGTTTCTTCTCTGCCCCATATTAAGTTCTTGATTTTGTTTGTGAAATCCTGAGGATTCTGTATGTGTTGTTGTGTATTTCCAACCAAAGGGGCAAGGACTCTGGCTAAGTATTTTGCCACGTTAAAAGTCACAGAGTTTATGCTGCTGACAATTGGCCTGAGAGGGGTCCCATACTTATGTATCTTCGGTCCATATATATACGAAGGGGCTTCACCAGGGTAGAGCAGATGATACATAGCCCGATCAATAGCTTTGTCCTTTTCCAGCTGTTGTAGTAGATCTATAGCTTTCTTCTTGTAACCACTGGTTGGGTCCCTTCTTAGGGCTTCATGTGTTGTTATTATTCAGAAGTACAGTCACTATATCATCGTAGTCAGATGTATGAAGTACAAACTGTGCATATACCATGACCTGGATGAATGAGAACTTTCACAGACAATGCCAGATATATGTTCCACATTACAGTGTTGGCATAGTTCTGGCACCAGTATAACTCTATGAATTCAGCAGATTGGGACTAGTGGAGCCTCTGGTAAAGAAATAACGTCACCAGCACTCCAAAGGATAATCAAGCAATAGTCCATTTATTGGCACATTGCCACTCAAATGCAAGCGCTTTCGAGGCCTCAAAGGGTCCCCTTCATGAGGCTCAGAAAGATGAATGAAGATGAAAGATGAATGCCATTCAAGTGTCAAAAAAGGAGTTTTTTTCCTACTCACCACCAATGTAAAGGGGCCCCTCTCCCAAAATTGATCTGCTCCAGTTGTCAAATATGCCAAATTCTTTATTCATTTCTTATTTAGAACCATTCTTTCATCTACAACTCACTGATCATGCTAATGTACTGTAAACTGTAAATATAACTTTTTTTGAAGAGGTTTCCTGTGACCTGAAAATATTTTCAAGGGCTCTTCTGTGGTATAAAGGTTGAGAACGGCTTCATTAAATTATATTACCTAAGTAAGGCATCTGCCAAAGGAGAAAAATGTAAAGAAAACCTTTATTTAAAACCACTTATCAGCTACTGAATATAACCACTTACTAAGTGTAACAAAAACGTGGGAGAAACATGGAAACTACCAAAGCCAACTTCTCATTCAGAAAAAGTCAGTCGTCTGGCTCACACTCTTGCTTCAATATGTTGAGTCATCAACTCAGGGTAAATATGCAGATAAAGTAAAGTAAATCCTGGCTGTTATACAGTTAACTGTGGGTTGCTTAAAGCATGCGCAACAATAGTAGTTTACTAAACTTTGTAATCTGCGCTACAGACTGGGACTAAGCAAGTTCCAGCAATACAACATATGAATTAAAGTCTCCTGAGCCCAAAAAACTAACCACTTTGTATAATTTTTACATGGGAAACGCTAACTTGAAAATAAACTGTAAATGCTAAGTGTCTAATACCTCAGGCAAACAAACTAGGAAATATATGATTTAAATTGTACAATGATTTGCATAACAAAATGGCTTATACAATGGTGTGATATAAGGGGATAACCCCAAAACACAGCATAAAATACAGATATAAACTACAATAGCCCCTTCCTCCCCAGGTACATGCTTAAAATGGTTAAGGAAACTCCCATTTTTACCCAAACTCCTTTTTAAAATGGCACCCAAGATGGATCCCTGATGTGTTATAAGCCTTGGTATCATTAAACACTCCTGGCTAATTGAAAGCAAGTAAATCAGACCAGCTCCTGCTGTATAAAGTAATCAGTCCACTGACCATCAACAATTTTTTTTAAACCTTTAGGAACAGATTAGCCCTACAGTACCTGCAGGCAACACTGACTAGGAGCTCTTGGGGGAAACAGAGATTGGACCAGTTAGAAATACCTATTGTGCTCAACGGAGTTAACTAAATATTAATACTGTAATTATGGAAACAGCAAGGAAGAGAAGTATACATTTTTATAATAATGGAGATTTATATAAAGGAGTATAACAAAACACCCCGTCCTACATTCCATAGCATCATTGTTCCCAGCATGATATAGATTAACATAGGGCAGAGAACTGAGTTTATTTTATTTCACTGGTCTTTGCCAAGAGTTATGTGTGCTAAGAGCTAGCAGGCTAATCACTCCAAGTACAGTATTACGTTGTGAATTCATAGAGACCCTTGAGATACTGATCACCATGTAAAATATTATAAATAAACCATATATACATTTCTCTCAAGAAAGCCAAGAAAGTAACAGACACCACCACCTTTGTGCCTCCCCGCATTGCCTTACTCAATTTATCTCCTAAATTTGACGTGTGCAGCTAAAGCCGATGTAAACCCAAACTGGAAGACACTGGAATCACTCTGAAATAAAAACCTCAGTCATGTTTTTTTTTTCTTTTAGAAAAAAGTTTTCACCTTTTGTACCCTTTCTTTGCATTTTAGTGCTACTACCATTTCCTGTCGATATGCATGGTCACCAGCAGCAGCGACACATTATTGTTTAGGGTGGTCTTCCCAATAGCACAATGGTAGAATATGCTTTCACAATGAATGACAGCATAGCCACTCACAGTCTCCAATGGGAGAACATGTGACTACCCAAGAGAGCAACTGGGAGACAAAGACAAAGCATTGTCAGCCTTTAACAGAAAGTACCTTCACAGTAGGATCACCAGAATCTATTTTAATAAAAGCTTCAGAATTAAAAAAGATTGAAAAATGACTTTGAAATTACAACATGTTAAAAGATATGAGATTTTAGTGATTGCATTCATATCTACTTTAAAATAAATAGTAGGGATTAATAAATTTTCCTAATTTTAGTGCAAATCATACAAACAGAATGGCACCCTGTAAAAAATATCAGGCCTATTTTGAGTACATTTTAGGTATACATGTGTAGGAATTAAATTCAGCAGAATAATATTGCTCATAAATAAGTACAATTAATGATATGTAGTTGGATATTATAAAACTTCACCAATGAGTGAATTCTTAATCGGGATCTCAAGCTTAAACTTGGATTCTGTCCTTACAAGTCAAACAATCAAGAAATAGGCAGATATACAACTCACTGCTTCCACCATGGCTACTTATTGCTTCATCTTCAAATATATCAAAACCTTCCTGGCGTGTCTGATTTGTCATCTCAAACTTCATCATCTCAGTGGGCATTCGTAAGATTGTAAGATTGTACTGGAGCGAATGACTCAAATCATAACTGTAGCTGAAATTGGAAAATAGCAGTTAAAATACATACAATCACTGCACATTTTGCAACAAAAAGCAAATCTGATCAAAAGATACATTTATTTTTCCTATTGAATTCTTGCATGCAGAAGTTTGTGCAAAAAAAAAAAAAAAATCTATATGCAAAGAAACAGAAATTTGATTCAATCCAGACACTGCAAATAATACTCAGTTGTAACATACTAAAATGGGGTATCCACACAAAAAAAGTAAGGATTCAAATCCCTGCACATATGGATCTAGAGAAATAGGAACACCAAAATATGCAGCTCGTTAGCTGATCACCCAATATGCAGACATAAGAGAGCAACAACCTCACCCTAAGGTCTCGTTCACACCTAGGCGTATTGCATATGCGCGTCTGTCGCGCGACCGTCACGCGTTTTTTTAACCGCGATTCGCGGTAAAAAAGTTGCGCGACAAACGCGGGTTTCCGAAGGCTACTTGGCTGTATCCCAATGGAAACGCGCAACAAAACGGCCCAAAGTAGTACATGTACCTTTTCAGGCGTGGGCCGTTTTGTAGCGCGTTAGGGACGGGCGGAAATACGCCAAGGTGGGAACGAGACCTTTGAATACAATGGGATTTATATTTTTGAGCGTTTTGTAGAGCGTTCGTCGAGCGTAGAACGCGCTACAAAACGTTCAGGTGTGAACGAGGGCTAAGGACTGCAACAACAGAGGCAGACACAATGACATACAGATCAGAGCCTCAAGTGATGAAGACCTTAAACTAACCCTACAAGGAATATTCAACAATGGACTGGGGAAGTCTTCCTACCATTTAATTTTTTATGCCCATCAAGCTTTTTGGTTGTCTGGCACTACCACAAGACCATGCAATGTGATCCGCAAGGTACACAAATACATCCTTAAAGAAGAAATAATGTACAACGCCTGCAAAATGCATCATCTTGAATTTAATGGTGCTGAAATACAGCTGTTTCTTGACCTTTTTTGGATCACACTACAAAACCTCAGATCCCTACATCCTCTTATAACTGTGCTCAAGGACCACAACAAACCCCATCGATGGGGATTCCCGTTCAGCCTCCAAGCGACACATTAAAGTGGAACTTTACCCATATCTTCAAAATAAGAACAAAGGCACCTTTAGAAATGTTTAGTAATGACAATCTACAAAAACATACTTCTAGATAATTGCTGCCTTTTTCTTCTTTGCATGCCTTATTTGTCTTTTCTTCCTCAGTCTTCTGACAGTGGCCATATTAACTAACGGCAGGTTAGTAGATCTCACTCTACATCCTGGAACTCTGGCACGTGAGGACATGTGACCATGCCCATCATTTTAGGTTGAGGAAAATGCCTTTCCATGAGATCTCATGAGATTACAGATACGATTTCCCAGCAATGCTCTGCTGATGTAACCTTCCCAGGGTGCAATGCACGGGCACAATTACATAATTTGTGCCAAAGTGGACCATGAAGTAGAACAAATTAATTGTAAATTAAATAAAAAAGAAGTTTGTTTAGCCAATGAATTTAAGATGATTTCTTATCAGCATGCAATGCTGTATGCTGTGATTTTTAGTCAAAGGGGGTAAAGGTCCACTTTAAAGCAAGTTGGCCACTTTTCATTACCCTGAGGATCTACAACTTTTTTTTGTAGGACCATGAATATCACTTGCCCTAAGCTTCAAAGCTGGGAATGTCTAAAACTTCAGTGAGGCAAAAAGTTCAACCTTAGAAACACTTGATAAGCCTTCACTCTCTACAATGAATAAGCCATCTTCAATGGAAGCCTGTAAGATACTTACCCAGTCTTCTTCCGGGAATGGAGTCAAGCGCCGCCTACTCCCCAATAAGCTCCTGCGGCATCACTCCGCTCTTACTCTCTAGCCAGCGTCTTAGATTATAGCTTGGAAGTTTGAAATGCTCAGTGTTCAAACAATACAGCCTATGTTGCGCATTTCCACTCCCGCAACCACACCACTTGCCATCCGGGAAGCAAGCCATTATACTTACCTCACCACTCGCCATCCTGGATGTAAGAATAGTGTACTCTCCTCTTCACTCGCCATCCTGGATATATCCTAAGAGAGCAAGACTAAGGAAAACCTGGACTGCAGCACCTACCCTCAAGCACTCTACGTGGAATCTTTGACCAGCTAAAGCCGCAGCACCCTGCCTTGTGCACTCTGCATGGACTCTCAGGCCGCGTGGACGTTTTGACGCAGCTAAATGCAAGTATACACATATATTTAGATGAACCCACAGACTGTTATTGTGATATACTTATTACTGTGGTTAATATGATGTTTGGCGATTGGTCATATATTTTACAATCATTTGCTAGTCTAGCCCATTAATGGTTATGACATGTCTGCCCATTATTAACTACTTTGGCTTATAATGTGTGTTACTTGAATGGACTTATACATTTCCCATTTAAGGATTGGACTTCTATGTACAAGCTGGACTTTTCTGTTGCTACTTCGTAAATAGTCAGTATGAACCAATACAGCCTTCAAGCATACTTTACCTCCATCTAAGTTTGGACTTCTACTAAGAATGCTTCACATTACTATTACGAATTCATATCTCTTTACCCTTTTTCCTGTAAGTAGTGGTAGGAGGACTATCCACAGTTGTGATCCGTGGAGAACTGTATTTAACTTACACAGCCTTTATAACTAGGTCTCTAGACTCAGACTTCATCAGTGTGGTGGCACAGGTATCATAAACTACACCTACACGTGTGGACCTTACACCAGTGATGCTCTGGTCCTCTTTGTACTTTTAAACTTAATGGTCAGAGATTGAAGAATTATTGATAGACCCAGTTCATTGCAAATCCTTGTTTTGGGAACCAACAATAGATTTCAGAGACCTAGGCTTATTAGCTGCAATGAAATTCACTAAAAGGGATTTGACCTCCCTGATCCTTTCTTTACACATTAGCTATCCTTTCTTTACACATTAGCTATACTTGATAGTCTCACACACCACATGGTGTTTCTGTGGAAACTTAAATCCATTTTCCACATTGGCAACATTATTGATATACAAAGCAAAGTTCTTCTACCCTCTGCTACTCTAAAGGATCAACTACTGTCCACAATCCATTACCCCTTGCCCCACACCTTTAGAAATGTGTTGCATTGCTCCAAAACACAATTTCCTGCTCTAATGGGAACATATTTTAAAAAGAGAATTAACAATGGAGGAATCCGAAAAACCAATTCAAAACCTTATACCACTATTAACACACTTCTGCCTTTTTATACACCCTCGAGCCAAACATTTTAGACCGCAGTTGGAGGTGCCTTGAACATTCGGGGATATTGTTCTACATATCCAGGACCTGCCCTAAAATACAGCCATTCTGGCAGGCAGTAATATACTCACTTTTCTGCCAGGATTTCCACAACGTATTCAAAAATGCAAAAAAGTTTACATGTACTAACGGCCACAAGATGCCTAATCACTTCTAACTTTAAGCAGACACACAGGCCAAACACACTTGGACATATACTCATATTGGAAAAGGAAGGAAGCTCTCACAGCTAGAATGAACAATACTTCCTGTGTCCGCTTTGATACCCACAATTAAGGCCATCCCAAAAGATGCTTATATGCAACATCCAGCCGGTCACTCTGCCCTCTCCCATCCCCCCTGCACC